TTTTGTCTGAAGATGGTAACAATGCTGTGACTGAAATGTCACACACTATTTATTTATTTGGATTTGGTCTTATTACCTTGTGTTTATAATCTATAATCCAAATTGTGCCTTATCAATCTCTAGTTGTACAGTGTGAGTACAACTCCAAGTGACTGAATGAAAACCAAGATAAGCCTATCTTGAAATGAAAAAGAATACTCTCTTGTCTTAGGATGAGAAACAATCCCAAAAGGCAGAAGAGCCAAATTTATTTGGACAACAACATAGATGGAAGAAGGTACTGTCAAATCACTTCTGTATCAAGCACTGCTGAGAAAACTATATATAGGCACAATTTGGATTATAGATTATAAACACAAGGTAATAAGACCAAATCCAAATAAATAAATAGTGTGTGATGTTTCGGTAACAGTGTTGTTACCATCTTCAGACAAAAGTACTGAATGAGGTAAAAAAAGAACGTACATTCAGTACTTTTGTCTGAAGATGGTAACAACGCTAACCGAAACATCACACACTATTTATTTATTTGGATTTGGTCTTATTACCTTGTGTTTATTTATATATGGATCAAATATCTAACCTGCATACTGCATTTAAAGAATATTTGGCCATATAGTCACCAAAAGTTGAACTAGACTTAGAAACAAAAGTTGAATAAGACCTAATCCAAATAAATAATTAGTCTTATTTACCTATTGTTTCTAATCTATAATCCAAAAATTGTATCTAATAGTTTCAAAAACAAGGTAATAAGACCAAATCCAAATAAATAAATAGTGTGTGATGTTTCAGCGTTGTTACCATCTACAGACAAAAGTACTGAATGAGAAATTTTACCACAGCATGTTTTAAATAGTTACTGTTATCAAGTGTGTAAACAAGATCTGATCTCACTGATGAGAAAAAAATTTCTCATTCAGTACTTTTGTCTGAAGATGGTAACAACGCTGTTACCGAAACGCCACACACTATTTATTTATTTGGATTTGGTCTTATTACCTTATTTTATAATCTATAATCCAAATTGTGCCTTATCAATCTAATAATTTCTTAACTTGATAGACATTAACAACAGCAATTGATAAATGGTACAAATTCAGTGTACCTTGTCCAGTGGCTTCTTTGAGATTGACCATGAAACTCTCTCTCCACACCACATATCCTGTTTTGTGGAGTTAAACTCTCCCTTGGAAGTTTATTCCTTCATAAACCTCAGCTATAGAAACCTTTTTTGTCATGTTGCAGAAGTTTATTTTCTTTACTAGCCTTTGAAGTAACCATTTTCTCTAGTGTTAGGTAAAGTCCTAGTAACCTTTTCTACTCTGGGGAATCCATCATTATCAGCCACATCCTGCAGTGGTCTAGACCAGGGGTCGGCAAACTTTTGTGTTAGAAGAGTCAAAAATTACAATTTACAAAATTTTAAAGTTTTTAAAGAGTCACAAAATGTTTTCTTGTCAACAATAAATAGTACTCACATAAATAATATTTACGTATGGAACTATATAAAGAGTCGCAGCTTCACATCCAACGAGCCGCAGTTTGCCGACCCCTGGTCTAGACAAGGTACTACAACCTTCCAATAACTAGGGTTTGACCTTTACACCAATCTCCAAACTATACACTTCTTCTTCTTTCTTATCTCCACTCAATCATATTTAGGTATCAAGATGATTGGGTGAAGTAAAATGCGTCTGCCTTTGTCATTAAGACTGGGAGCACTACTCAGTGGAAGGCCGACTTAGCTCCAAAATAAATGGCCGCCTCTGACATGAGGAACAGACGCCATGTGCAGCCGCTCCTAACATGGAGTACAAACACTGCTCATCCTGTATCCCTGGAGTCCTTACAGGGTACTATCAGCCGGGCCAGCTGAGCCCAGGTTTTTTAGTGAGCTTGTTACTGCTCCTTCTTTTTCATCGGGGCTTGGGACCAGCAAAGGTGGAGTTAATAAAACTACACACTTCAATTATAAGAATTACAATACAAAAAACTACACTTTCATTAATCTTATTACAGCTCATAATGGGGACTTGTGTGTGTGTGTGTTTCTATTCCTACAAAAAACTTTTTTTTTTTTTTTAAAGAAAATGTTATTTTGAGATCCATCAATTCATTTTTAAAAAATAGGCAATTTCTTAGATACTTACAATTTCAGACATAGTGGGTGGAAGCATTGCAGAGGAGAGCTTCAAAATATATTTGTCCAGATAAAATCTGAAAACAAACAAATTCCTTAGCTACTTTATTTAGTCCATGATAAAAGAACTACAAAGAAAATATCAGGTTTGAATGGTCAAAGTGGCAAAATGATAAAACAGTAGAACAAACTCCATGAGATGACATTCTCACTAGAGAACACCTCTCTACAATGGAGAGTTTTTGTCATTAAAATTACTATTTTTACTAATTAACAACTGATAAAACACAATTTGGATTATAGATTATAATACAAGAAAATAAGACCTAATCCAAATAATAGTGTGTGACGTTTCGGCAACAGCATTGTCACCATCATCAGACAAAAATATCAGATTTTGTCTGATGATGGTGACAATGCTGTTGCCAAAACGTCACATATTAATAATTTGGATTAGGTCTTATTTTCTTTTATTATAATTAACAACTCTCCAGTAAGAGGACACATCTCCATAAAGGAAACTTTGGTTCTGCAACTAGGTGTTCTTTAAAGAGAGGTTCTACCGTATTGTAAAAAACAAGGATTCAAAGATATTAGATAAAAACAACAAGACTAAATAAAAATATAATGAAACAGCTTTATATCTGTCTTCTTTATAACACCAACTTGGTCATTACATCTAAGTTACAGAGGGTTTTCACACTTATAGGAAACAAGTTTTATTATAAAATTGAAAGCCTTTTTGTTTATTTACAGAACGGCACCTGATTTTCCATGATAGCAGACACTTTCTGATCATGGTCATACTCAAAAGATCCCATTCTTCCTTTACCACTTTCCAGACACCTTCAATTGTCCTAGGGTGTCTCTTTCCAAGTGCTCTTTTAAGGCATCCAAAAATGCAAAAATCCATTGGGGCTAAATCAGGAGATTTTACAGGGGTTCTGTTTTTTGGAATAGTGTTGATTCCTGTTCTTTGCCTTAGATCTTCCAAATAAGCTTGGGTTGAAGATGAGGTATGACTTGTGGCGTTATCATGGTGAAACCAGACTTTGTTGCTCTGTTTTCCATAGATAGAGGAAATATCATTTAAAAATATAGGTTCTAAAATGTTGTTTTGATAGTACTCCGAGTTTATTTTGGCATTTCTTTCAACTTTTCTTATTTTTAAATTTCCTTCATATTGCATACTGCATGCCACCATAAATCCTTTGGGGTAACTTTCGGCACATTCCTTCAACCAAATTGGCCTAGATTTTTCCACCCTTTTTTGATAGTATATAGCTCTTTTTCTGTCACAATCGGCTAAATATACCCATGCTTCGTCATATGTAACAATAAATTTCCATCTATCAGCAGCCAAGAAATTTTCATAAAATTATCTGCTGATAGTGTGTCGCTGACGAATATGGCTCTGAAACAATTTGTGTACTGCATGTTTTTTTGTAGCTTTTAGGCCTAAATCTTTATTTATTATTTTATTTATTGTTGACACTGATGTTCCTATTAATTTGGCTATATCTCTTTGTGGCATAGGATTTTCTTTTGTAATATATTTTTTCACTTTTTTGACAGTTGCAGGAGTTCTCACAGATAGGGTGATAGTCTTTTGTCCATTTCTCCGTAGGTGCTTTGAATAAAAACTTGATATTTTTGTCGTGAATAATATTATAAATACCTTTTTTAGAAATGTTGATATCATCTTGTTTGCATATTTTAATTATGTCCAAATAGGTAAGATTAGCTCTGGAAAGTGGTAAAGGAAGAATGGGATCTTTTGAGTATGACCATGATCAGAAAATGTCTGCTATCGTGGAAAATCAGGTGCCGTTCTGTAAATAAACAAAAAGGCTTTCAAATAGAACATTTGAAAAATTTCAAATATGGTGTTAATTTTTAATATTTTATAATAAAACTTGTTTCCCCTATAAGTGTGAACACCCTCTGTATAAAGTCCATAGTTTTAAGTCTCCATAGTTTTAACCAAGGTTATAACAACATTTGTTCCCCCAATAGTGAGGTTTGAGTGTAGGTAAATTTCATGTGACATTTCAGTAGCAGCATTGCTACCATCTAGAGGTTTTTTTTTTTTTTTGCTTATCCCTAGTACACATGGTACAAGCCATGATAATCATGATGGGTAGAAGTTGGCAACTGCTTTTACTGTAAGTGCACCACATGTTTCACATGTGAAAAGCAGTTCAACTTTGCACTTACAAATGTACTAGAGCCCCATTTAGTTACTTGCACTTGCTGGTGGGGTTGGACTTTTGCAAGAATCGGGGGCCATTAGAGCATTAACCATCTAGAGGTAAAAGTATTGAATGATTGAGAACAATGCTCTCCTGGAATTGTTAAATATAATTTACTTATTTGATACCTTGTAAGGATACAAAGTGAAGGTCAACATTAAATGTCCAATAAAAATTTAGTAGAGTGACAATACTTGTAGGGAGGGCTTAGGTGACAAAATGAATATGCTATTTTTATAACTTGTGGTACTGTATGATAAAGCACAATTTGGATTATTGATTAGAAACACAAGGTGATAAAACCAAATTCAAATAAATAGTGATTTGACGTTTCTGTTACAGCATTGTTACCATCATCAGACAAAAGTACTGAATAAGAAAATAAATCGCAGCATGTTTCAAATAGTTACTGTTATCAAGTATAATACAAGAAAATAAGACCTAATCCAAATAATTTAATAGTATGTGACCTTTCGGCAACAGCATTGTTCCCATCATCAGACAAAAGAATAAATGAGAAAAAAAAGAACTTGCTGTGATATTTTTTCTCATTTATTCTTTTGTCTGATGATGGTGACAATGCTGTTACCAAAACGTCACAAACTATTTATATGGCTGGTAGGCTGGTTAAACCGTTTGGTTTTCGACCACTAGGACCCGGGTTCGATTCCCGCATTGGACACTTTTTTCTGTTTAAAGAAAAAAAATGCTCCAATGGCCCCCGATTCTTGCAAAAGTCCAACCCCACCAGCGAGTGCAAGTAACCAAACGGGGCTCTGGCATTAGTAAGTGCAAAGTCGAACTGCTTTTCACATGTGTAGACATGTGGTGCACTTACAGTAAAAGCAGTCGCTAACTACCCACCATGATTATCATGGCCTGTACCACGTGTACTAGGGATAAGCAAAAAAAAAAAATATGGATTTGGTCTTATTACCTTGTGTTTGTGAAACTGTATTAAAATTTCTTACTATGGGTAAAACTTGTGATATTTTTTATCTCATCTCTTTCTCCAATATACACAATTAGGACACACAAGTAAAAAAAATCTTAAAAGCAACAAGATCAAAGTAGCAGGTGTCAAATTTTGGAGACAACCTTTCTATTAATTTCAGATTAGGTTTTATTTAAATGTGTAACACACACACAATTTATAAAAATTTGAAACTATTATAGATGCGTATAATTCTTTTAAAAATTTAAACAATTACTACTGCCCTTACTGCAATGGAAAAATTAATGGGAGGGCCTGGCTCATCAGTGGTGATAATATAATAGTTTCAAATTTTCATAACAGATGGCGCACTAATGCATTGTAACACACACAATTTACCAATTTATATATACAGTTAAACCTGTCTATAGCGCCCCCTCTTGGGACTCACCAAAATAGGATGTAATAGAGAGGGGGTGCTATAGACAGGTTACTTTTAATGTAAATCGCATCTATGTATTTAAAACCGGGCTCTATAGAGAGGAAGGCGCTATTTAGGGAGCGCTCTATAGACAGGTTTAACTGTATATATATATATGATTTTTATTAACCTTTATTTTTTTACCTCTAAGAATGATAGCAATATTGTAAATGAAACGTCATGTGTAGTTGGTTTATTTGGATTAAGCCTTGTTTATCAATAATCTAAATTGCATATTTACAATGTTGATTTGAAAAGAAGAATCTCATTGGCACCATGTGTCCTGTATCCCTGCCATCCCAACATAGGATTAAAATGTCCATTGTTAGAAATAAATATCACTTATATACTTTCTCATCAAATCCTCAAATTTCAATTTTATTGCTAATCATTTCTAGCCATAGAATTGGGCTATTCACTTGAAAAATATGAAGATTGATTATTCCCAGTGAGTGTTTATTTACAAGATGTCCAAGAATGAAGGAGGGAAGAAGTGAAGTTAAAAATGGCTGCCATATGGTGAGAGAACGGAAGGAGTTCTTAGAACACAGCTGTCAACCATTCTGGTGAGTCTCTCTATTTTTCTTCATTCTACTTCCTCCCTCTGTTTGATGAAGATAGAAACTTTGAACTCTGGAAGATTTTTAATATTATTATATCTTGTATACATGTAGTACCAGGCCATGATAACATGGTAGCTAGAGGGCTGTGACAGCTTGTACTGTAAGTACACCACATGTCTACACATGTAGTACCAGGCCATGATAACATGGTGGGTAGAGGGTTGTGACAGCTTGTACTGTAAGTACACCACATATCTACACATGTAGTACCAGGCCATGATAACATGGTGGGTAGAAGGTTGTGACAGCTTGTACTGTAAGTACACCACATGTCTACACTTGTAGTATCAGGCCATGATAACATGGTGGGTAGAGGGTTGTGACAGCTTGTACTGTAAGTACACCACATGTCTACACATGTAGTACCAGGCCATGATAACATGGTGGGTAGAGGGTTGTGACAGCTTGTACTGTAAGTACACCACATATCTACACATGTAGTACCAGGCCATGATAACATGGTGGGTAGAAGGTTGTGACAGCTTGTACTGTAAGTACACCACATGTCTACACATGTAGTACCAGGCCATGATAACATGGTGGGTAGAGGGTTGTGACAGCTTGTACTGTAAGTACACCACATATCTACACATGTAGTACCAGGCCATGATAACATGGTAGCTAGAGGGCTGTGACAGCTTGTACTGTAAGTACACCACATGTCTACACATGTAGTACCAGGCCATGATAACATGGTGGGTAGAGGGTTGTGACAGCTTGTACTGTAAGTACACCACATGTCTACACATGTAGTACCAGGCCATGATAACATGGTGGGTAGAGGGTTGTGACAGCTTGTACTGTAAGTACACCACATGTCTACATATGTAGTACCAGGCCATGATAACATGGTAGCTAGAGGGCTGTGACAGCTTGTACTGTAAGTACACCACATGTCTACACATGTAGTACCAGGCCATGATAACATGGTGGGTAGAGGGTTGTGACAGCTTGTACTGTAAGTACACCACATGTCTACACATGTAGTACCAGGCCATAATAACATGGTAGCTAGAGGGCTGTGACAGCTTGTACTGTAAATACACCACAGGTCTACACATGTAGTACCAGGCCATGATAACATGGTGGGTAGAGGGTTGTGACAGCTTGTACTGTAAGTACACCACATGTCTACACATGTAGTACCAGGCCATGATAACATGGTGGGTAGAGGGTTGTGACAGCTTGTACTGTAAATACACCACAGGTCTACACATGTAGTACCAGGCCATGATAACATGGTGGGTAGAGGGTTGTGACAGCTTGTACTGTAAATACACCACAGGTCTACACATGTAGTACCAGGCCATGATAACATGGTGGGTAGAGGGTTGTGACAGCTTGTACTGTAAATACACCACAGGTCTACACATGTAGTACCAGGCCATGATAACATGGTGGGTAGAGGGTTGTGACAGCTTGTACTGTAAGTACACCACATGTCTACACATGTAGTACCAGGCCATGATAACATGGTGGGTAGAGGGTTGTGACAGCTTGTACTGTAAGTACACCACATGTCTACACATGTAGTACCAGGTCATGATAACATGGTGGGTAGAGGGTTGTGACAGCTTGTACTGTAAGTACACCACATGTCTACACATGTAGTACCAGGTCATGATAACATGGTGGGTAGAGGGTTGTGACAGCTTGTACTGTAAGTACACCACATGTCTACACATGTAGTACCAGGCCATGATAACATGGTAGCTAGAGGGTTGTGACAGCTTGTACTGTAAGTACACCACAGGTCTACACATGTAGTACCAGGCCATGATAACATGGTGGGTAGAGGGTTATGACAGCTTGTACTGTAAGTACACCACATGTCTACACATGTAGTACCAGGCCATGATAACATGGTGGGTAGAGGGTTGTGACAGCTTGTACTGTAAGTACACCACATGTCTACACATGTAGTACCAGGCCATGATAACATGGTGGGTAGAGGGTTAGGACAGCTTGTACTGTAAGTACACCACATGTCTACACATGTAGTACCAGGCCATGATAACATGGTGGGTAGAGGGTTGTGACAGCTTGTACTGTAAGTACACCACATGTCTACACATGTAGTACCAGGCCATGATAACATGGTGGGTAGAGGGTTGTGACAGCTTGTACTGTAAGTACACCACATGTCTACACATGTAGTACCAGGCCATGATAACATGGTGGGTAGAGGGTTGTGACAGCTTGTACTGTAAGTACACCACATGTCTACACATGTAGTACCAGGCCATGATAACATGGTGGGTAGAGGGTTGTGACAGCTTGTACTGTAAGTACACCACATGTCTACACATGTAGTACCAGGCCATGATAACATGGTGGGTAGAGGGTTGTGACAGCTTGTACTGTAAGTACACCACATGTCTACACATTTATTACCAGGCCATGATAACATGATGGGTAGAGGGTTGTGACAGCTTGCACTGTAAGTACACCACATGTCTACACATTTATTACCAGGCCATGATAACAAGGTGGGGAGAGAGTTATGACAGCTTGTACTGTAAGTACACCACATGTCTACACATGTAGTACCAGGCCATGATAACATGGTGGGTAGAGGGTTATGACAGCTTGTACTGTAAGTACACCACATGTCTACACATGTAGTACCAGGCCATGATAACATGGTGGGTAGAGGGTTGTGACAGCTTGCACTGTAAGTACACCACATGTCTACACATTTATTACCAGGCCATGATAACAAGGTGGGGAGAGAGTTGTGACAGCTTGTACTGTAAGTACACAACATGTCTACATATGTAGTACCAGGCCATGATAACATGGTGGGTAGAGGGTTGTGACAGCTTGTACTGTGAGGACACCACATGTCTACACACGTAGAAAGCAGTTTGACTTTATATTTACAAGATTCCAGAACATTACTCACACTCAGTGGTGAGATAAGACTTGGGGGAGTCTGGGGATGAGAGGCATTGAGAGAAATAGCATAGCTTGGATGTTGAATTCTAAGTGAAGAGTCAACATCACTGACACACCACCATAGAGAGTTACTTAACTACCTCCAGGTTTCAAACCTAGATCACCAACTCTACACAGGTTTCACTGCTCAGAACCAGTAAAACAAAACCAGCTTATTATCTTGGTAAAGTTACTTTTCTCTTTTCAACCCAACCAATATACACTCATGGACAAAACTTAAAGAAGTGGAGTGTCTTTGATGTTGCCGGTCATTTATTTTTTTAAAGGAAACAGAGGCAATTTTGTTCACATTTGGTTATTTTGTGTGTCTTCAATAAAGGTGACTGTAATATCTTTCAGAGTTATTGTCTGAATCCCGATATACATGGTAAAAGGTACAACTTCCTTAAGTTTTGTTTGTAAGTCTTCAATAAATGTCAATGTATTATCTTTCAGAGTTATTGTCTGAATCCCGATATACATGGTAAAAGGTACAACTTCCTTAAGTTTTGTTTGTAAGTCTTCAATAAAGGTCACTGTAATATCTTTCAGAGTTATTGTTTGAATCCCGATATACATGGTAAAAGGTACAACTTCCTTAAGTTTTGTTTGTAAGTCTTCAATAAAGGTCACTGTAATATCTTTCAGAGTTATTGTCTGAATCCCGATATACATGCTAAAAGGTACAACTTCCTCAAGTTTTGTTT